GTCAATAAAATGTTTCAAATTTATATTCATGTCCAGTTTTTTTCCTTATGTGGCAAGTAGCCGTGTAATAAGTGGGATAATGTACAGGCAGCCGGTAGTTATCGCGAAATAAGCCCCTTCAGTGTGATACAAGACCCTCCGCTTCGCGTCGGGTCCTGATCACACTGTCGGGGCTTATTTCTGCGATAACTACCGGCTGCCTGTACATTATCCCTTACTTATCTGTCCAAGGGAAGGGTGGGGGGTTGGCAAAAGGAAAGATTATCATCTAGGGTGGTAGTAATGGTTGTCAGCCTGGGTGGGGTGGTGCTGGGGGGGTGATGACAGGGGGTGGCTAAATCAGTGCCCCTCAGAAGGTGTCACTCTGGGCAACTGCCCATCTTGCCCTTAACCGGTTAAAAAAGGGACACTCAGTAGCTTTAAATAGCTCAGGGTAAATGGGCAGGAACTCAGGTCTCAATGAATCACTGCAAGCTAGTAGGTGTTAGCATCTCTGTACATAGTCTGAACTGTCTTGGAGACTTTAGCACTGCATATGCAGGCAATAGAGATTTTCTCATTAGGCACCATTAAGGCTACAATCAGGCCTGTTGTTCAGAAACCCTCAGAAAGGATGTAGCCTAGACTGAGAGCTGTGGGGTTCAGCACTGTCGCAAGGCATCTCGCCTCCCCAGGGAAGACTTGTTTGCTCAGCCCTAGAACAAACAAGCTTTCAATCAGAAGGTTTGTCGTTAATAATTGATGACTATTAATGAGAGTACAGAAGGGCTATTTGAAGGCAGGGTGAGGTCATGCACCCACATGATGGACATCCGTCCCTGGAGCAGGGGGCCGCGTTCAGTTTCTCTAATCATCATGCACTCAAGAGTTCAGCAGGGAAATCCTGGTGTTCTACTAAGTAGAGAATGATATAGGTCCGCAGGTCTGAATTTGGAGAATTTATTTCCATCTTCTTAACCTTTGACTCTTTTCTGAATTTAGTCTAAAACAGATAAATGCAGTATTAAACGTTTTCTGACAATTTTCATAGTTTAATTTAGTTGAAGTATGGCTGCACCCCTCAAGAAACAGTTATGTAAAATTCCTCATTTGCCACATTATAAAAAAATTATCATCAGCTACTGACTGAGCCTCTTGAGATCTATCATTTGTTTTGACTGCTTGGCTGGTGTTGTTTAACCAAATGGATCAATACAACGTCAAAGGTTGTTTGGTATTCAATGCATAAACAGCCATGAATTGGCCCCATCCATTGGTCACTGCATAACCACACTGCTGGCTTGACCACTGGGCCTATGTACATATTTTGCAGTGCCTGCCCTTTCTCTGAAGCAGTCATAATAATCCATATAATATGAAATGAAGTAAAAAAAAGTCTCCTATCGGCCAAAAGAGCCGGTAACTTTCAATGCCATGGGCTGGGTGCCTGGCCAGTGAGCAGCCGGGCATGTCCTCTTCTTACACAATCTCCCATGTTCTGCCATTAACGCTCATCAATTATTAACTTCAACCCTCTGATGGACGGCTTGTTTGTCCTGCTGCTGAGCAAACAGGGCTTCCCTGTGGAGATGAGCTGCCTTGTGACAATGTGGGACCCCACAGCTCTCAGCCTGGGCCTAGAGACCTCACCTAGAATATTGTGTACAGGTTTGGTCAC